ATACAGTAGCTTAAAAAATCTTTTTATGATAAGACATACTTTAAGTGTTGCACATGATAATCTGATTAAGGTAAATAAAAATAGTCACTTTTCTCTTCCAGTTTGAAGAATCTTAGCCATTGAATACCTCAGAAACCTCTGGCCTTGGGTAAGCAGCAATAATCTTATTTGATGATTGAGAGCGGTGCTTGGGCTTACAGTTACTTTTTGCTAAGCGTATGAATATTTGGTTCACTCAAGGTAAACTTTACTTTCTGCTTTTTAAATTTCCTCTGGGAGTTTAATTGTATGAGCAGAGTGCAGTATTTGCTTTCTAGTATTCAACGCTTTCTAAAGTAATATAGGTAATACCTTTGTTAAGGCCAATAAAATTGTATGACTCAGATTTTTACATTGCCAGTAAAGGACATTATTGTTCCCCTTCTATATGGACTTAGAGCAGGACAGGGAGAAATGAATGGAATTCTTTTTTTCTTGTTCCTAGAGGTGGAGTCAGTTTCTTTCTGACAGTATAATGCCACTTGGCTCATTTTAATTCTGCAAACATTTCTCTGAGCACACCTCATAGGCAAAGCATTTTACAAAACATGGTATGCTGTTAAAGACAAAAAGTGAACTGTACGCATCTGTTTGGTGAAGCTGTTGCTCAGAGAACTCTTTATTCACACTTCGTCTGTGGTTGGGTATATTTTTCAAGAATTGATGTAATTATCTGATGGCAATGCTGAGTGTGTGTGAGTTGACAGCTGAGCCATCTGTTGTCTGGGACAGTCTGTCTCCACTCAGGAAACACAGTGATGGCATCTCTTGGCCCACCCCAGGGTAGCACATCAGAGTAAACACTCAACAGGGGTCTCTATCGTGGGAGAGGCTGCTGCCCATGAGAGCACTTTTCTGGGTCCAGAGAAATGGAAGGTTGTATGAAGTAGCCTTGTGGCTACTATTTCCACCAGAAATTGAGAAAGAGTAGTTTTTAATCTTTGATTCCATGATTAGCAATATTTTAAAATGTAGACCTATTTTGATTAGTGTCATTCTGCCCTCTACATATTTTATGCAATTATGACTAATTATTTTATTTTTAAAAGAGTTATTTTATTTTTATTGGAAAGTCAGATATATGTAGAGGAGGACAGAGAGAGAGGAAGGTCCTCTGTCTGATGGTTCACTCTTCAAGAGGCTACAATGGCTTGAGATTGGTGCAACTCTGGCTGTTGTGGCCACCTGGGGAATGAATCAATGAATGAAAGATCTTCTTCTATGACTCTTCTCCTTTCTGTATAACTGACTTTCTAAAAAAAAAAGTAAATCTTTAAAAAAAAAAAAGATGGGAGCCACATAAAAATTGAAAGGTATGAAATAAATGATGTAACAGTGATTCTTACAGATCTAGAAAAGAATAAACTAACCTTAAAATTAGTAGGAAAGAAGAGACAATAAAAATTAGAGAAGAAATAAGCAAAAAAAAAAAAAAGAAAATGTTATCTCTGAAATGAGTTTTTTTTTTTAAATAAACAAATTGGTAACCCATTGGCCCAACTAATCAAATAAAAGTGGACACTCCAAATCAGCAAAATCAGAGGTGAAATGGTGGTACTACTGATACGACAGAAAAACAAAAATCACTAGGAATTATTAGAGACAGTAATATGTCATCAAATTGTAAAACAAATTGTGGGTAGGTTTCTGGACACATGTGATTTGCCCAAATTGAGGCAAAAAAAAAATAGAAAAACCTGATAAATCAATAACAAAGATTGAGTTTGTATCAGTAATAAAGTGCTTCCCAACAAGGAAAAACCGAAAGAACTCATCAAATTCCATTTAAATTATTGAAAACAATTGATATAGAAGTGAACCTCTCCAACTCATTCTGCAAGGTGAGCATTACCTTACTTCCAAAACCAGAGAAAAATACAACAAAAGTGGAACTTTGTCCTATATCCCTGAGGAACACAGATGAGACATGACCTCCAAACATGCTATCTCCTCCAATGAACAATGAGTCCAAAAGCTCGCCCACCTGGACCAAGTGAGATTTTGTCCTGGGGCACAGGAATGATTCAAAAATGCAAATCAATAAATGTGATATATCACTTCAACAGAGTGAAGGATAAAACCATAGAATTATCTCAATAGATATAGAGAAATAATGCCATAAAAGCAACATCCTTTCATGAAAAAAACCTTTAAAAAATTGAATATAAAAGGAACATAACTCCACACAATCAAGGAAATGCATGACAGACATACATCCTGCATTATATTGAACGGGTAAAAGCTGGTGACATTTGCACCAAAATCCAGACCCAGACTGAAATCGCCACTTTCACTATTATTATTCAATATATTTCAGGAAGTTCTAGCCAGATTAATTAGACAAAACAAAACAAAAACAAAAACAAAAAACCCAACAAAACAAAATGAAAAGAACCCTGAAAATAATAAATAAATCAAAGAGAGGCATATTAGAAAGGAGGAAGTCAAATAATCTTTTCCAAATGAAATAATCTTTCATATAGGGAAATCAAAAGATTCCACTAAGATACTGTTGGAACTCATAGAGAACTTGGCAGAGTTGCAAGATACAAAACCAATGCACAAAATCAATACACAAAATCAGTACCTAAAAATCAAGAGCGGGTTTGTATACCAAAAATTCTCTGAGAAAGAACTTTTATGATCAATCCTATTCACAATAGCTACAAACATTTAAGTATCTTATGATGAATTTATACAAGAGGTGAAGATCTCTACATTGTGCAACACTTAAACAATCAGAAGAAAAAACACACACAGAAAAATCTCCCATGCCTGCAGATTGGAAGAATATAATTAAAATGTTAATACTGCCCAAATCAATGTACAGATCAAATGCAATTCTAACAAAAATACGTCATCAATTTTAGTGGAAGAATCCATGCTAAAGAACCAGTTTTAGAGTCCAGAGTTGTGGTTCCAAGGATTAAGCAACAGCCTTCAAAGGCAGGCAAGTTGGAGTTCCTGCTGCTCCTGCTAATGCCTCTGAGAAGACAGTAGAGAGTGGTCCAAGTGGCTGGGCGTCTGCTATCAATGTAGGAGACCTAGATGGATGTACAGGTTTCTAGATTCAAGCTGGTTCAACTCCAGCCATCATGGCTATTTGAATAGAAAACCAGCAGGTGGAAGATACTCTCTCTTCATCTTTCTTCTTCCCTTCCTCTTTTTTAACTCTGGTTTTTCAAATACATATATCCCTTTAAAAAAATAGATCAAGTAGATACATTTACATTGATTTTTATGAGCAAGAACATTCAGCAAAGTATTGTTTTACTAAATATTAGTAAATAACTTAAACATTTGCCAATCCAGAAAATCTAAAGTAAAAGATGGCTTGGCTAGTAGGAGCCTTTCAATATAAGTTACATTCATATTTTCCAGGAATAACAATAAATGGTGTGACTCACTATACACATTGAATGGAAAAGGAAGATATAAATAAATGCAAGGATTTTTTATATGAGATCATAGTAGCTGTATTCAGTTAATGGCTATTGCTCTAACAAACAGTTCTAAATTCTGATTCCCATTGCTTGACACAATAAAAGCTTGTTCTTGGCTGACAACATAGTATAATGTTGAATGGTAGTATTTATAGATTTCTTTATGACCCTGACAACCTCAGTCAGTGTATGACTTCAGGATTGCTCTGGTGGCAGATAGTGTAGGCGGTTGACTGTTTTAACTGCGTTGGTCCATAATGATATATAGCTTTTGCTCATATTCCATGGGCAGAAGCCAGGTACCTGTTTCCTGCTTTCTAAAAGGAAGGGAATAGACTGGACTTTTGTGAGTACCTTTATCATAAAGAAAATATGCAAAACTATTAACTTTTCTAGCTGCTGATCCATGACTCATTTTCTACTTTGTCCTACTTGAGTATTAGAATTTTCAAAAATAAATGTAAGCTAAGTTTCTAAACAGCTCAAAACTATAAATATTAAAACTTGCAAGCAGTGTCTCTGGGTTAGCTACTTATCCTTCCTCTGAAAGAGCAGACATCTTGGAGCGTTTACTTCAATATATGCCTCTGTGTAATCTCTTAAAGAGGTTTCTCAGGTGCTCACCCAAGTGATAGAAAATCCATCAAGGCCAGCCTGGGGAAAGCCTTCTCTGTGCACAGGTGACTTGGATATGATATTTACCAACACTGATCTCCCAGATTGCTTTAGCTGATTTGGCACGCCTGGAGGATTTTTCCATTCTCTCACTGTTCCGTGCTTCCCTTCCAAAGACTTTCCTCAATCAAAGAGAACAATAGTTTATATGAGATGAAGTGGGATTACAGTGAATTGAAAGTTCTCTTTTGGCGGCCTCTTTAAAAAATGATTTTTTAGCAAACTACTTGCATGTGAAGATAGAGGTTGAACATTCATTTTATTCTGTGTACATCAAGTTTAATTAAGGATTTAACAGGAATTAATATTGATCATCCTATGCAGTATTATTTATTGCCTTTTGGAAAAAAAAAACACCCTGTAAATATCAAAGAAGAAAAAGCCCTTGCAGGCAGACTATGATGCTTTTTATCTACGATTTGAATCTGCATTTATCTCTGACCTTGATGCTGGATGAGGTACTGTGGAGAGCTTGCTTCTGTGAAGACGTTTTACAGCTGCACTCAACACTGGCTTCAAGGCTGAAGTTTTCATTTTGTTACCTCATGCTTATTTTCTGTCTCATGGCATGCCACTTTCTTGCACTTGTCCTGTTAAAGCGTCCACCATGGCTATTTAATATTTAAGGGCCTGGATCATTTTGCAGGTTTTAGTTTAAAGGTAACCATAGCACGTACACACATTCATTATTAATTGTAGAGATGCACTGTAAGTTCTTGGGAATCTTCTTTCAACATCAATTTCATGGGAGTGCTGCTGTCAGCAGAAGTAAGCTCTGATATCTGTGTATAACGAGGGGACCAATGCACTGACAACTGATCCAGAATGCTGTAAAGCGTTCATATGGGTGCGGAGATCATGCTAAAAAGGGAGATGAAGCCGGAAAATGACAGGCCACGGAGAGTCCGGTTTCGGATCGCATCATCTCACAGTGGACGAGTTCTGAAGGAAGTGTATGAAGATGGACAACCTCCCGGCTCTCTGGATTCGGAATGTGCCAGTATCTGCGGCATTGATGGACTAAGCGATTCTGATGGACATCAAGATGGCCACTTAGGATCGGAAGGCGATGAGCATGAGAATGACCAGGATAACTTGCTTGTGTTAGCAAGGGCTGCCAGTGAAAAGGGTTTTGGTACAAGAAGAGTCAACATTTTGAGTAAAAATGGCACAGTGAGAGGCGTCAAATACAAAGTGAGTGCTGGGCAAGCTCTGTTTAACAATTTGACCAAAGTACTCCAGGTAAGTCCTTCTGCTTTCCTTCTCCTGAACTTTGTTCTTAACTCAATTTCTGAACACATCTCAGTTCTCGATTTAAGGCAAGCCTCTTGGAATCAGAAGTCAAAAGACACTCCTCCCACTCTCCCACCTCCATACAGCCATTGATGAAAAACAGGTCATTATTCTTGACATAGTAGCCCATCTTCTCAAAGCTGAATTACTAACATGTGCAAGATCTTTTCTTCCCATGTGATAATGACAACACTGAGTTTCATTAGCTTGAAAGGAAGACAAACTATAGTGAGCAGAGTTTCTAAGCAAAGCAGAAGTTAATTTCATCCTGGTTGATTATCCTCAAAACAATGGGTTAGCATTCATCATTGTTGGTATAGATATTTCAACCAGCAGAAGTTGAGTGTTTAAAGTCATTGATGCTGGATTTAGCTGGAAAGTTGTGAAACTACAAAGGCTGAATTTGACTTCTCATGCCTGAGTAGATTTCATCTGAGACCTATTTTTAAAATTCATTTGCCCATATTAACGCTAGAGCGACACTTGAGAAAGTTATTACTCTGTAAATATGTAGGATCAGTTTTTAGAGTTAAAATGACCCAATTGAATGTGCTGAATTGTACAGCATAGGTATGTATATAATATTCATATCCAGAGGACTTTGACAGAAGACCATGCCAAAAGAAACGTTTGAGACTGGCTGGAAATGGTGGTAAAGAAAGCTTTGTTGTTATTGTCAAACCTAAACATCATTTTTTTTTTTAGGAGTGGGGTTCAGAATCATTATTGCTAAAGTAGCAAGCTAATAGTTTTCATTTTATGTTATTCTCAATATTTAACTATAAAGTTATAATTGATAATTGCTCAAGCTTTTGCATTAGTACGAAAATGAGAGTGATAGGGAGAAAGAATCTCAACAAAATTATTTGATTTTCAATTTTAGAGGAAATATTTTTAGAAGTTCACACTGTGAGGATAAGTATAATTTCAGGTAAAGAAAAAAATCAGTTAAGGGCAGAGATATTTTTCATACATAAAATTTACCTACAAAATATTTTACAGATTTAGAGTAGAGTTGGAAACCCAAAATCAGAAACTGAAACTCTGTTTATTAGTTTGGAAATCAGTCATGTATGAATATCTAGAGATGTGACTATTAGGCTAAGATCATTTTAGTGGTCGTTGAGTTCTGCCCAATGCAGAAATTTCTGCCAAGGTGTAGATTAAGATTTATTGTAACAATTAAGTTCTAAAATGCCTGCATTTGTTGTGGTTAACTTTGCATGTCACTATTTGAATTGCTTTATAATCTGGATAGTTGTTTACAAAGCTGCAGTACTTGTTTGGTACTTTGCATTTATTTATTCAAATAGTCTAAAAAAGTGTCATGCGTGGGCAAATATCTTAAAATCTTCAATGTCTACAGGTGAAAAAATTATTCTTCTCCTAATGTGTTTACCCTGACAACCCTACAAACAGAAAATAAAACAAATTTCAAAGTCAACTTAATATCAGATTAGGTTATAATCCTTATTAACATTTTTCCATGTATAATTTCACCACCATTTTTCAAAAAAAAAATTTAGCAAAGCTTTTTTTTTCTTTTTCTTTCTTTCTTTTTTTATTTTTTTAGTAATTGAAACCCATCTATTTTATCCTCATCTTTAAGAGGAAAATGATGTTAGTAGCAGAGGTCTCTCAAAGTCTTTGATATTTGATAATTTGTTTCCCATCTCAATGTACTTTATTGACAATTTAAGTAATGTAATTAGCAAGAAATTACAGATTTTGGTCATCATTTTTAGTTTCATCATTATCATTTTAACATCAAGTGAATACCTGGTGTACTTCTACATAAATATCCCCCAGGGCAAAACAAGTTATAAGAGTTTTTACTTTTGGAGCAGGGCTGCCATTTTCAAATTTTGGTAATTCCGCTGGCCTCGCTGTGTGAACAGCCCTTCTTGGATTTGTATATTTTGGCTGTACATCTTGCAGAGACCTAATTTGTGTCCTTGTCAGTTTCTCAGGAAATTGTAAGTCCTAAGGGATATCAGATGTGTTAGGCATATGTCTCAGGATAAGTAGGTATGATCCTACAGGTGTCTCACAGTCCAGTAGCAGAGAAGAAATCAGGAGGTAAAAGAAATTGTTATTGAATTTTTTCTGTAGCCATGGGCAGGCATGTCTTATTCTCTGTATCCATATATGTGTTATATATCCCTTACAAACTTGCCTGAAAATAACTGTAACTATTCTGATTTTTCTCAATAAGGAAAACTGAGCTTGCAGTATCTCAGATAATTTGATTCAGGTTCCAGTGTATGGCCAGTCTTACTGAGCAAGGAACTGTGATTGAAGAGACAAATGTTGCTACTCATTTTAAGTTATAAAAAACAAACAAACAAACAAAAACCCTTAAAGCACTCACTTTGAAAGTTGAGAGGGGGAAATTCTAAATATAAACCAAGTATTTGGAAGACCCTGTAAATTATTTTGCTCTCTCTCTCTATTGGTTTTCCACTGTCATTCCTGTTTCACAAACAATTGCAATTAAATTACAAAGCTTTCACTGACACAGAGAATAGTTTTTCAGATAATTTGCTTTAAAACATTTTTACTTCTTAGGAATAATTATGTGAAAGTTTTCTACAAAACAGTATCATAACTCATTTCTATTTCACTTGTCAGTTATTTTATCCGGAAGAATCCTGGGTTAATTCTGGACTGTGAGGCAAGGAGAGAAAGGTCATCTGGCTGCTTTAGGACCCCAAAAGATGAGTCATTGACTCACTCAAGGGTCTCCTCCAGTATGGATTACAACATTTCACATTCAGGTAGTTGAATTTCCCATCTCTCCTGAAGATAACAGAAATATGCTCAAGAGAGGGCAGTTTGGAATTATGAAAACCTGGGATCCGGCTGTAGCCTACACATAAACATTTATTACAAGCTTTTTGATTAGTCTTAGAAGCACCAAGATTTGAAAATCGTTAGTCTGGAGTTTAAAGAGTACATTAATCCAGCTCTATGAGATAAATGAAAACATTCCTTAATTGTCTTATGTCTTCAAACATTGAGGAAAGTAAGAAGGTATGCATGGATTGATGATCAGGTTAGATCAGCAGAAGTATTTTTCCTGAGCTAACGATGAGGAGAGACTATGCTGACATATTTCCCCTTGATATCCTCATTTATGGATTAAGTTGGGAGCAGAAGCATAACTATTATTAGTATACCCTAATGTAGTTGCTCTGTTTCAGTATTATTTAAGACTATTTGTACCTAGAGTGTTTATTTATGATTACTAGAAATTTTGGGAAATTAAAAAAAATTCTTTTAAACATTAGTCATTTATTTAATTCAAAACAAATTACAAAACTATTATGACTTATTGCCCAGTTTGCATGACAGATTTGGAATACATCTTAGCAGCAACGTTTTTCTAAACTCTCTTAGGGTGAATCATGAAGTATGCTTGTAAGGTCTTTTAGGGTGGATAATAAAAGACAATAATTTTGCTAATTTATTCTTATGGGATTTAATTTCAAATGGTAATGTTTTTCCTGGATTTGTCCCAAAACTATTTGAGTACACTGTTATAAACTATAATTTTAATTCCTTGTTCTCCAAATGTAAATACATAATATTAGAGAAAAATACATGGAAGAAGGAAAAGAGCTGTGATATACATCATAACTCAGCAGCTTCTTTCCAAGAATTGAAATATGTGATTCCTATATATGCAAATACAGGCATATTTGTCAATATGATATATTTGTAAACATGGCAACATTTCAAGATAAATAAAAATAAGGTGCTTGCAGAAAATTTTTATTTGGCACATGACTTTCACATAAATTATTTTACCCAATTGTGCCCAAAATTTTGCAAAATAAACAGGGAAATTATTTTTTATAATACCTGTTTTTGAAACTGTCAGGGAAATCAAGTGACTAGCTAGTAATATAACAACCCTGAATGTTTTACTTAGCTGTTTTTAGTGTTCAAAATGACAACATCAATTGCAAAACTCCCACACTTAAAAAGTAGTAAAGTAACAAATATGAACATAATATAACATGTGTTATGATATAGATTTGCCTTTGTAGAAAGTTCAGTATTTGATTAGCAAGTTATAAATTTTATCATTTATTTAACATTTGTCTTTTGACAGTTTTTCAAGCAGAGTTAAATAGCTTTCATTTAATTTAAATGATGCTTTAGTTTATCAAGACCCATTATTTTCATAGCATTTTATTGATCTGTTGTGAGATTCCAAGAGTAACACTGAAAGATGATTTAGCTACCACCAGTAAGACTGCTGTGCAGTAATGCTCACTAACTCAGTGTGGAACGTACTGGCAGAAGTTCCTTGGCAGTATTTCTTATCTACCTCTGGTTCAGTGTATAGCACTGGTAGCAGAATATTGGTAGCAGAATAATATTCTGAGAAAACAAGGCAATATTTTCAGTGACTCCTTGGCCCTTGTGTTTTATTTGGACCATTCTGCAAATACACAGGAATAGTAATAGTTAACCCTGAGCAAGTACCTGCTGAATGTCAGGCAGATCTTATTTTTGTGCATTGCTGTATTTCTTCCTCATAGCTATTCTATGAGGTGACATCATTGTTAATAAATTAATTATAATTTGAGCTCCTTTTTTGCATGACAAACACCACATTTTAGGATTTTTAAATACCATTTATCCAAAAAAGCTTTAAAATATACTTTTCTAGAAAAGAAGAATCTGTTAATAGGTACATTTCATTTTTTCACTTACTAGGAAATGGGCAAGAAGCTCTAGGATTTCTGACACAATTGGAAATGATATAAGGAACTGCACTAAAAAAAAAATAAAATAACTTGGCCTCCAAAAGTCAGGAAGAAAAGAGCACAGAAATTGAGTTGAAACTACTACTATATGATTATGTACCATAAAAGAATTTGAGTTTTGTGAGCTCCTTCCATAGATTGTCCCTTTTCTACCCCTGATCACTGTATTAG